GCGCTTGCCCTGAGCCCAAACACCCCCTCAGTGCCCTCCTCTCTGCACTCCGAGGGCACACAAAGACTCCCCGAGAGCCTGTGCAGGGCCTGGCTCTGCATGTCCCGGCCACGGGGCTCCCTCCTCCTCCCGCTGTGGCTCAGCCCACCCTGGCTGTCCAAGGCAGCTGCCACACGCCTGCTGCCCTCAGAGCTCTCCTGCCCAGGGAGGCCCCAAGCCGCTCCCTGCCACAGGAGGCAGAGACCCACAGGCACCCACCTTCCCTTTCCTGAGCAGAGCGAGGCAGGAGCGATGGATGCCAGTGCTCGCTGAGGGCAGAGCTTTTATGCGGTGTGCTGAGTGAGGGGAGGAGCTGCTGAGTTGGGAGCAAGTGGCCCTCGGAGGACAAGCCCCTGGTCCCTCCCTGCGTGGCACGGGGCTGTTGTGCTGACGCCGCTTCCTCAGCAGCCCCAACCCGCTCTATCAGCCCCTGCAATTACCCTGCTCGGGCGCTTGCCAGCTGCCACCTCATGGGCCAAATGAGCCCCAGTGTCTTTTCATTATCACAGGGCGTAAGAGGGCACGCAGCGTGACAAAGGCTGATTGCAAGTGCTCTGCATGCCAGAGCTCTTACCCCAGGGCTTGGTCTTAGGGTCCCACATGCCTTTTTTGCAGAGCTACCAGTAAGACCAGGGTCTTGGCACTGACCAAGAAGGCCCCTCGCAAAGGCCTCCCGCATACCAGTGCCCACATGACGTATGTCGTGCAGCTGTAATCTAGAGAGGCGCGAGGTTATGAAATAGCAGAGCACAGGCACTCCTCTGCGGCACTGCCTGCTCAGCACGATGCATCACTCGCCAGCCCTACAGAGCCGGCCTCCATCTGCCTGCAGGCGTTGGTCATCGACCTCTGCCAGTCTGGGGCAGAAAGACCCCCCATGCTCTTCCCTCCTGAGCTGGGCGGTGCAAGGGCAACAGATCCCCTCCTGATCCCACAGAGCACAAGCTCATGCTAGACCTGCTACAGTCCCACTGGCCCCTCTCATGTGTCCTGGGATGGCGACTGCTGGGGGCTGGTAGTGAGCAGGGACTTCCCTCGGGGTGCTGGGGAGCTGGGAGTCCCGTCTGAAGGCTCAGCTGCAAGAGCCCCAGTGGGAATGGCCAATGGGCTCTGGTGCGACTCTTCTCCCAGGGAAACCCAGCTGAGGGCACAGGGCTGAGATGTCTTCCCAGGACAGAGCACAGGGCTGGCAGGAGCTGCAGAAGCACGGCCCTCTCCTGCTGGGCACAGCCCCCAGCAGGCAGATGCTGTTGCCATGCAGACCTTGAAGCAGAAACACCTGGAAAGGCTCTGAGACGACGTGTGATTCTGTGTTGAGAGGATGCTGACTCAGGGTGGGGCAGGAGATGGACAGCGCCGTTGTCATCGTTGTCATCGTTGTCATGGGCAGGAGGGAGTGCCCCTCTGCACATTGGCCCACGGGGTGCTGAGCAATGGTGGGGATGGTATAAAAGCTCTGCCTCTGCCAGGCTCTCCCATCCTCTGCTCTGGCCGCCTTCTCCTTGGGGAACAGGGTAAGTCTGGGAGCGCTTCTCCTCCTGGTCCCTGAGACAGCTCCTCCACCTCTGATGCTCTTCCGCTACTATTCTACCTATCTCCATCTCTGTTCTCTTGCAGAGCACCGTCCGATCTCACACAAAGATGTCTTGCTACGACCTGTGCCCACCGAAAAGCGGCGTCGCCGTCCCCCAGCCCATCGCTGAGAGCTGCAACGAGCTGTGCGCCCGGCAGTGCCCCGACTCGTCGGCCTTCATCCAGCCGCCCCCCGTCGTCGTCACCTTCCCCGGCCCCATCCTCAGCTCCTTCCCCCAGCAAGCCGTGGTGGGCTCGTCCGGAGCCCCCGCCTTTGGGGGCAACCTGGGGCTGGGGGGCCTCTATGGCGCCGGGGCCACGCTGGGCTCAGGGGGCCTCTGCACCTTTGGCAGACCCTACGCTTCTCCTGCCTGCAGCCCTTGTGCCCTGCCCCGCTACAGCAGGAAGCTCTGGGACACCTGTGGGCCCTGCTAGACCCACACCTTCAAAAAAGTGAGACCCTGGGCATCTCAGCTTCACTTCTCCACGCTTTCTCGTCTCTGCATGCTGCTTCTCCTCCTCCATGCTCCTGCCCATCCCCAGAGGCACCAAGCCACCGTCCTCCCACAGGGCACTTCTTGTCTCTCCAGCAGCCACCGCCTGGCAGCAGCCTGAAGGCGCAGCTCTCTTGAAGCCCACAGGGACAACCTGCCTGCCTCTCCCTCATGTGTCAATTTCCAGTGATTGTTTCCTGCACTCACAATAAAAGAATCCTGCATCTAACATCTCTCTTAGTTTTGACTTTCACTGAGACCCCACAGCCCTGGCAGCTCTGGCCACACACGGTCCCACAGCTGAGTTCCACGGGCCCTGCCTGGACACAGACACATTTGCTGCCTGCAGGACCTGCAGCCCTTGGGCATTTGCAGACCTTGAGCTTCCCTGGGCATGAGTGTGGCTGCCCCAGGGGCTGGGATCCATCCAGGGACAATGGGTGTTGTGACTCCAGCCCCTTCATGCCTCCATGGCTCTGTCTGAGCACCTGGGCAGAAAGAATGGATACGCTTCCTTTTCCTCTTACCTATAATTTTTCCTTTCCCTTCTCTTTCCTCCTATCTTTCCCGTTCCTTCTTCTTCTTTTTATTCCCTTGCAGAGTCCTCTCCCATCTTCCCCATTTTGTTGCCTGTCTTTATGCTCCAATCTCCTTTACCTTTGCTTTCCCCATCCTTTTCTCCATCCCCTTCTGTCCCCTACCAGAGACCAATTTGCTGCTCCCCGATTCTCTGCCACAGACAGAATATGACAGAAATATCCGTCTGATTCTTGAGCAAGAACCTTTACAGGGCTTCTTGTCATGTTGCTGTCTCAGCAGGGTCACACAGAGCCAGCTGCCCACTACCGTGTCCTTACGACTTTCTGACCAAGAACAGAAACACCACAAACTCCTGAGGAAGCCTGTGCCAGTGCTCGGTACCCTCACAGGGGCAAAAGAGGTTTGCACATTTGAGGCGGAGGCTCCTCTGTATCTGCTGGTGCCCATTGCCTCTTGTCCTGGCACTGGACACCTCTGACAAGATCCTGGACAATTCTTTTCGATCCCTTCCCTTCAAGGATCTGTGCACAATAATGAGAAGCCATCCAGTTGATACATGGAATAACATTCACGGTGCTCTGAGGCTCTCACCAGGAGAGATAGTCTCCCTGTCCCTTCAGCATTTTTGTGGTTTAACCCCATCTGGCATCTAAAAAGACCAGATCGCCTCGCTTACACATCTTCTGCTGGGATGGGTGAGTGAATTGGAGGACTAAAAGTGAGAAAACTGGTGTGTTGGGATAAAGAGTTTAAGAGATTCATGCAAGCCAAGCAAATAAGGAATTCATTTTCTACTTGCCATTAGCTCAGGTGTTCAGCCATCTCCAGGAGAACAGGGTGGTCACACTGCCTGTGGTTACTTGAGAAGACAAACACCATCACTCCACAGATCCTCCTTCCTTCTTCTTCCCCCAGCTTTCTGTTGCTGAGCAGGATGTCCTATGCCATGGAATACTGACGGCCATTTCCCAGGTGTGAGGTTAAACACTTGCTCCCATCCAGCCTCCTCTGAGCAGATGCCTGAAGATTCTGCCATGCTTCTGCAGAGCAGTGGAACCTTGTAGATTTGTTTCTGCTCATGGGCTCAGAATCTGAAGTGATGGAGCACTGCTTGTACCTACCCTGCTCCCTGTCCTCTGCCCTCTCCCCAGCTCCTGCAAGTCCCACCACAAGGCTCTCTTTCCCCTGCCTGCTGCCTGCATCCTCCCTCTCCCAGCACTTCCCACGCTCACCTCCCTTGGGCATCTCAAACCCAGCATTTACCCTCCCACAGCTGCTGGGCACCTGCCACCAGGGTTTCCCAAGCTTGGGACAATGACAGAGTGAGACATGACTTGGATGCAGGAAAACTTTATTGTGCCCACAGGGGCAGGACAGGCAGTGAGCAGATTGAGGGCAAGACCAGAGCATCAGGTTTCCACAAAAGGTGGGAGGCAGAGGGATTTTCTCCAGAGCAAGGCTTTCAGCTCCAGATGCCCCCATGGTGCAGCATTCCAGATGCCGAGGAGTTGGCCCTGCAGCCTCGAAGAGCCCTTCAAGTCCACATGCTGCCCCGTCCAACATCTGGGAGGAGAAGGGAGTAGAGGGGAGCAGAGGGCAGGGGAAGGGATGAGGAAAGGGCTGAGGGTGTGTGGCACTGCCAGCTGCCCAGGTGTTGGCTGTGGCTGCTCAGCACTGCTCAGAGCCTCGTGCCCGCCAGCTCAGCCCTGCATGGGGGTGGTGTTGGCGATTGGGCTGGGGCCAGTGCCTGGGGCTGGGGTGGGTCTAGCAGGGCCCACAGGTGTCCCAGAGCTTCCTGCTGTAGCGGGGCAGGGCACAAGGGCTGCAGGCAGGAGAAGCGTAGGGTCTGCCAAAGGTGCAGAGGCCCCCTGAGCCCAGCGTGGCCCCGGCGCCATAGAGGCCCCCCAGCCCCAGGTTGCCCCCAAAGGCGGGGGCTCCGGACGAGCCCACCACGGCTTGCTGGGGGAAGGAGCTGAGGATGGGGCCGGGGAAGGTGACGACGACGGGGGGCGGCTGGATGAAGGCCGACGAGTCGGGGCACTGCCGGGCGCACAGCTCGTTGCAGCTCTCAGCGATGGGCTGGGGGACGGCGACGCCGCTTTTCGGTGGGCACAGGTCGTAGCAAGACATCTTTGTGTGGGATCGGACGGTGCTCTGCAAGAGAACAGAAATAGCAAGATTGCAGTAGAGGGGAGCGCCTGAGGTCAAGGGGCTGGCTCATGGATCCAGGAGGAGAAGCGCTCCCAGACTTACCCTGTTCCCCAAGGAGAAGGCGGCCAGAGCAGAGGATGGGAGAGCCTGGCAGAGGCAGAGCTTTTATACCATCCCCACCATTGCTCAGCACCCCGTGGGCCAATGTGCAGAGGGGCACTCCCTCCTGCCCATGACAACGATGACAATGATGACAACGGCTCTGTCCAGTTCCTAACCCCCCCTGAGTCAGCACCCCCTCACCACAGAATCACACGTCGTCTCAGAGCCTTTCCAGGTGTTTCTCCTTCAGGGGCTACATGGCAACAGCATCTCCCTGCTGGGGACTGCACCCGGCAGGAGAGGGCCGTGCTTCTGCAGCTCCTGCCAGCCCTGTGCTCTGCTCTGGGAAGACATCTCAGCCCTGTGCCCTCAGCTGGGTTCTGTGGGGAGGAGAGTTGTACCTGAGCCCAACAGGGCCATTCCCACAGGGGGCTGCTGCAGCTGAACCTTCAGACAGGACTCCCAGCTCCACAGCACGCTGAGGGAACCCCCTGCTCAGCACTGGCCATCATTACTGGGGATCCCAACACAACTGTGAAGGGCTGGTGGAGCTGGCGTAGGAGTGGCACAAGCTTGTGCCATGTGAGATAAGGAGGAGATTAGTCAATCTTCAACTAAGCAGCTCAGGAGGGAAGAGCATGGGGGGTCTTTCTGCCCCAGACTGGCAGAGGTCGATGACCAACGCCTGCAGGCAGATGGAGGCCGGCTCTGTAGGGCTGGCGAGTGATGCATCGTGCTGAGCAGGCAGTGCCGCAGAGGAGTGCCTGTGCTCTGCCATTTCGTAACCTCGCGCCTCTCTAGATTACGGTTGCATGACATACGTCATGTGGGCACTGGTATGCAGGAGGCCTTTGCGAGGGGCCTTCTTGGTCAGTGCCAAGACCCTGGTCTTACTGGTAGCTCTGCAAAAAAGGCATGTGCGACCCTAAGACCAAGCCCTGGGGTAAGAGCTCTGGCATGCAGAGCACTTGCAATCAGCCTTTGTCACGCTGCGTGCCCTCTTACGCCCTGTGATAATGAAAAGACACTGGGGCTCATTTGGCCCATGAGGTGGCAGCTGGCAAGCGCCCGAGCAGGGTAATTGCAGGGGCTGATAGAGCGGGTTGGGGCTGCTGAGGAAGCGGCGTCAGCACAACAGCCCCGTGCCACGCAGGGAGGGACCAGGGGCTTGTCCTCCGAGGGCCACTTGCTCCCAACTCAGCAGCTCCTCCCCTCACTCAGCACACCGCATAAAAGCTCTGCCCTCAGCGAGCACTGGCATCCATCGCTCCTGCCTCGCTCTGCTCAGGAAAGGGAAGGTGGGTGCCTGTGGGTCTCTGCCTCCTGTGGCAGGGAGCGGCTTGGGGCCTCCCTGGCCAGGAGAGCTCTGAGGGCAGCAGGCGTGTGGCAGCTGCCTTGGACAGCCAGGGTGGGCTGAGCCACAGCGGGAGGAGGAGGGAGCCCCGTGGCCGGGACATGCAGAGCCAGGCCCTGCACAGGCTCTCGGGGAGTCTTTGTGTGCCCTCGGAGTGCAGAGAGGAGGGCACTGAGGGGGTGTTTGGGCTCAGGGCAAGCGCTGGGCACGGAGCTCATGGTGGTTGCTGTGGCCTTTGCTGGTTTGGGGCAGCCCTGGGAAGAGGGCACTGCACAGCTGGGGTATCTCCTCCGCATTCACGACACCTGTTCTTGTGGCCATGTGTTTCAGGCTCAGCTATCTCACACAAAGATGTCTTGCTACGACCTGTGCCCACCGAAAAGCGGCGTCGCCGTCCCCCAGCCCATCGCTGAGAGCTGCAACGAGCTGTGCGCCCGGCAGTGCCCCGACTCGTCGGCCTTCATCCAGCCGCCCCCCGTCGTCGTCACCTTCCCCGGCCCCATCCTCAGCTCCTTCCCCCAGCAAGCCGTGGTGGGCTCGTCCGGAGCCCCCGCCTTTGGGGGCAACCTGGGGCTGGGGGGCCTCTATGGCGCCGGGGCCACGCTGGGCTCAGGGGGCCTCTGCACCTTTGGCAGACCCTACGCTTCTCCTGCCTGCAGCCCTTGTGCCCTGCCCCGCTACAGCAGGAAGCTCTGGGACACCTGTGGGCCCTGCTAGACCCACACCTACAAAAACCTGATGCCCTGGGCATCTCAGATTCATTTCTCCTCTCCTTCTCCTCTCTCCACGCTGCCTCTCCTAGTCCATGCTCCTGCCAATCCCCAGAGGCCTGAAGCCACCCTCCTCCCACAGGGCACTTCTTGTTTCTCCAGCAGCCACCGCCTGGCAGCAGCCTGAAGGAGCAGCACTTTTGAAGCCCATAAGGACAACCTGCCTGCCTCTGCCTCATGTGTCATTCTCCAGTGGTTGTTTCCTGCATTTAAAATAAAAGCATCCTGCATCTAACATCTCTTTCTCTTAGTTTTGACTTTCACTGAGCCACATGGGCTGTAGGGCTCCCTCACCCTGCACGTGACCCCCCTCATCTGCACCAGGGCAGTCTCTCTGTCCCAGCAAGATCTGGGCTGAGCTGCCTTTGGGGAGACCCCACAGCCCTGGCAGCTCTGGCCACACACGGTCCCACAGCCGAGTTCCACGGGCCCTGCCTGGACACAGACACATCTGCTGCCTGCAGGACCTGCAGCCCTTGGGCATTTGCAGACCTTGAGCTTCCCTGGGCATGAGTGTGGCTGCCTCAGGGGCTGGGATCCACCCAGGGACAATGGGTGTTGTGATTCCAGCCCCTTCATGCCTTCATGGCTCTGTCTGCATCCTTGGGCAGAAAGAATATTGATGCTTACATTTCCTCTTCCCTATCCGATTCCCTTTCCCTTCTCTTTCCTTTTTTTCTTTCTCTTTCCATCTTTATTCTCCTCCTTCTTATTTTTTTCAGAGTCCTCTTCCCTTTCACCACTTCTCACCCTTCCCCATTCTTTTCCTGTACCTTCTTCTCCTTCACTATCCCTTTCCCCATCCTTTTTTCCTTCCCCTTCTGACACTCAACACAGAACAACAGACAGAAAATGACAGAAATAACTGCCTGATTCTTGTGGCAGGAGCCTTTGCAGGGCATCTTGTTATGGTGCTGCCTCAGCAGGATCACCCAGACCCCCCTGCTCAGCACTGTGTCCACAGGGCTTTTGCTCCAAGAACGGCGACATTCCATCCTCCTGGAATAACCTGTGCCAGTGCTCTGTCATCCTCACAGTGGCAAAAGAGTTTTGGGCTGTTGGGGCAGAGACTCCTGTGTTTCAGCTGGTGCCCATTGCCTCTTGTTCTGGCACTGGACACCTCTGACAAGAGCCTGGACCAATCTTCTTGAGACTTCCCTTCAGGCATCCGTGCACATTGATAAGAACCCACCCAGTCCTGCTTGGAGCCAGGAGGAACAGTCACGGTGCTCTGAGTCTCTCCCCAGGAGACAGCTGCTCCCTGTCCCCTCAGTATTTTCTGTGGTTTAACCCCAGCTGGTAACTGAACAGCCCTGAGCATCTCGCTCACTCATCTTCTGCTGGGATGGGTGAGTGAAGCGGAGGGCTAAAAGTGAGAAAACTGGTGTGTTGGGATAAAGAGAGTTTAAGAAGTAAAGGAAAAACCTTGCATGCCGCCATTCAAATAAGGAATTCATTTTCTACTTGCCATTAGCTCAGGTGTTCAGCCATCTCCAGGAGAACAGGGTGGTCACACTGCCTGTGGTTACTTGAGAAGACAAACACCATCACTCCACAGATCCTCCTTCCTTCTTCTTCCCCCAGCTTTCTGTTGCTGAGCAGGATGTCCTATGCCATGGAATACTGACGGCCATTTCCCAGGTGTGAGGTTAAACACTTGCTCCCATCCAGCCTCCTCTGAGCAGATGCCTGAAGATTCTGCCATGCTTCTGCAGAGCAGTGGAACCTTGTAGATTTGTTGCTGCTCATGGGCTCAGAATCTGAAGTGATGGAGCACTGCTTGTACCTACCCTGCTCCCTGTCCTCTGCCCTCTCCCCAGCTCCTGCAAGTCCCACCACAAGGCTCTCTTTCCCCTGCCTGCTTCCTGCATCCTCCCTCTCCCAGCACTTCCCACGCTCACCTCCCTTGGGCATCTCAAACCCAGCATTTACCCTCCCACAGCTGCTGGGCACCTGCCACCAGGGTTTCCCAAGCTTGGGACAATGAGGGAGTGAGACATGACTTGGATGCAGGAAAACTTTATTGTGCCCACAGGGGCAGGACAGGCAGTGAGCAGATTGAGGGCAAGACCAGAGCATCAGGTTTCCACAAAAGGTGGGAGGCAGAGGGATTTTCTCCAGAGCAAGGCTTTCAGCTCCAGATGCCCCCATGGTGCAGCATTCCAGATGCCGAGGAGTTGGCCCTGCAGCCTCGAAGAGCCCTTCAAGTCCACATGCTGCCCCGTCCAATATCTGGGAGGAGAAAGGAGTAGAGGGGAGCAGAGGGCAGGGGAAGGGATGAGGAAAGGGCTGAGGGTGTGTGGCACTGCCAGCTGCCCAGGTGTTGGCTGTGGCTGCTCAGCACTGCTCAGAGCCTCGTGCCCGCCAGCTCAGCCCTGCATGGGGGTGGTGTTGGCGATTGGGCTGGGGCCAGTGCCTGGGTCTGGGCTGGGTCTAGCAGGGCCCACAGGTGTCCCAGAGCTTCCTGCTGTAGCGGGGCAGGGCACAAGGGCTGCAGGCAGGAGAAGCGTAGGGTCTGCCAAAGGTGCAGAGGCCCCCTGAGCCCAGCGTGGCCCCGGCGCCATAGAGGCCCCCCAGCCCCAGGTTGCCCCCAAAGGCGGGGGCTCCGGACGAGCCCACCACGGCTTGCTGGGGGAAGGAGCTGAGGATGGGGCCGGGGAAGGTGACGACGACGGGGGGCGGCTGGATGAAGGCCGACGAGTCGGGGCACTGCCGGGCGCACAGCTCGTTGCAGCTCTCAGCGATGGGCTGGGGGACGGCGACGCCGCTTTTCGGTGGGCACAGGTCGTAGCAAGACATCTTTGTGTGGGATCGGACGGTGCTCTGGAAGAGAACAGAAATAGCAAGATTGCAGTAGAGGAGATCGCCTGAGGTCAAGGGGCTGGCTCATGGATCCAGGAGGAGAAGCGCTCCCAGACTTACCCTGTTCCCCAAGGAGAAGGCGGCCAGAGCAGAGGATGGGAGAGCCTGGCAGAGGCAGAGCTTTTATACCATCCCCACCATTGCTCAGCACCCCGTGGGCCAATGTGCAGAGGGGCACTCCCTCCTGCCCATGACAACGATGACAATGATGACAACGGCTCTGTCCAGTTCCTAACCCCCCCTGAGTCAGCACCCCCTCACCACAGAATCACACGTCGTCTCAGAGCCTTTCCAGGTGTTTCTGCTTCAGGGGCTACATGGCAACAGCATCTCCCTGCTGGGGACTGCACCCGGCAGGAGAGGGCCGTGCTTCTGCAGCTCCTGCCAGCCCTGTGCTCTGCTCTGGGAAGACATCTCAGCCCTGTGCCCTCAGCTGGGTTCTGTGGGGAGGAGAATTGTACCTGAGCCCAACAGGGCCATTCCCACAGGGGGCTGCTGCAGCTGAACCTTCAGACAGGACTCCCAGCTCCACAGCACGCTGAGGGAACCCCCTGCTCAGCACTGGCCATCATTACTGGGGATCCCAACACAACTGTGAAGGGCTGGTGGAGCTGGCGTAGGAGTGGCACAAGCTTGTGCCATGTGAGATAAGGAGGAGATTAGTCAATCTTCAACTAAGCAGCTCAGGAGGGAAGAGCATGGGGGGTCTTTCTGCCCCAGACTGGCAGAGGTCGATGACCAACGCCTGCAGGCAGATGGAGGCCGGCTCTGTAGGGCTGGCGAGTGATGCATCGTGCTGAGCAGGCAGTGCCGCAGAGGAGTGCCTGTGCTCTGCTATTTCATAACCTCGCGCCTCTCTAGATTACAGCTGCACGACATACGTCATGTGGGCACTGGTATGCGGGAGGCCTTTGCGAGGGGCCTTCTTGGTCAGTGCCAAGACCCTGGTCTTACTGGTAGCTCTGCAAAAAAGGCATGTGGGACCCTAAGACCAAGCCCTGGGGTAAGAGCTCTGGCATGCAGAGCACTTGCAATCAGCCTTTGTCACGCTGCGTGCCCTCTTACGCCCTGTGATAATGAAAAGACACTGGGACTCATTTGGCCCATGAGGTGGCAGCTGGCAAGCGCCCGAGCAGGGTAATTGCAGGGGCTGATAGAGCGGGTTGGGGCTGCTGAGGAAGCGGCGTCAGCACAACAGCCCCGTGCCACGCAGGGAGGGACCAGGGGCTTGTCCTCCGAGGGCCACTTGCTCCCAACTCAGCAGCTCCTCCCCTCACTCAGCACACCGCATAAAAGCTCTGCCCTCAGCGAGCACTGGCATCCATCGCTCCTGCCTCGCTCTGCTCAGGAAAGGGAAGGTGGGTGCCTGTGGGTCTCTGCCTCCTGTGGCAGGGAGCGGCTTGGGGCCTCCCTGGCCAGGAGAGCTCTGAGGGCAGCAGGCGTGTGGCAGCTGCCTTGGACAGCCAGGGTGGGCTGAGCCACAGCGGGAGGAGGAGGGAGCCCCGTGGCCGGGACATGCAGAGCCAGGCCCTGCACAGGCTCTCGGGGAGTCTTTGTGTGCCCTCGGAGTGCAGAGAGGAGGGCACTGAGGGGGTGTTTGGGCTCAGGGCAAGCGCTGGGCACGGAGCTCATGGTGGTTGCTGTGGCCTTTGCTGGTTTGGGGCAGCCCTGGGAAGAGGGCACTGCACAGCTGGGGTATCTCCTCCGCATTCACGACACCTGTTCTTGTGGCCGTGTGTTTCAGGCTCAGCTCTCTCACACAAAGATGTCTTGCTACGACCTGTGCCCACCGAAAAGCGGCGTCGCCGTCCCCCAGCCCATCGCTGAGAGCTGCAACGAGCTGTGCGCCCGGCAGTGCCCCGACTCGTCGGCCTTCATCCAGCCGCCCCCCGTCGTCGTCACCTTCCCCGGCCCCATCCTCAGCTCCTTCCCCCAGCAAGCCGTGGTGGGCTCGTCCGGAGCCCCCGCCTTTGGGGGCAACCTGGGGCTGGGGGGCCTCTATGGCGCCGGGGCCACGCTGGGCTCAGGGGGCCTCTGCACCTTTGGCAGACCCTACGCTTCTCCTGCCTGCAGCCCTTGTGCCCTGCCCCGCTACAGCAGGAAGCTCTGGGACACCTGTGGGCCCTGCTAGACCCACACCCACAAAAACCTGAGACCCTGGGCATCTCAGATTCATTTCTCCTCTGCTCCTCTCTCCACGCTGCCTCTCCTCCACCATGCTCCGTCCCATCCCTAGAGGCCTGAAGCCACCGTCCTCCCACAGGGCACTTCTTGTCTCTCCAGCAGCCACCGCCTGGCAGCAGCCTGAAGGAGCAGCTCTCTTGAAGTCCTCAGGCACAACCTGCCTGCCTCTGCCTCATGTGTCTTTCTGCAGTAGTTCTTTCCTGCCCTTTAAATAAAGAATCCTGCATCTAACATTTCTCTCTTAGTTTTGACTTTCACTGAGCCACATGGGCTGTAGGGCTCCCTCACCCTGCACGTGAACCCCCCTCATCTGCACCAGGGCAGTCTCTCTGTCCCAGCAAGATCTGGGCTGAGCTGCCTTTGGGGAGACCCCACAGCCCTGGCAGCTCTGGCCACACACGGTCCCACAGCTGAGTTCCACGGGCCCTGCCTGGACACAGACACAATTGCTGCCTGCAGGACCTGCAGCCCTTGGGCATTTGCAGACCTTGAGCTTCCCTGGGCATGAGTGTGGCTGCCCCAGGGGCTGGGATCCATCCAGGGACAATGGGTGTTGTGACTCCAGCCCCTTCATGCCTCCATGGCTCTGTCTGAGCCCCTGGGCAGAAAGAATAGGGATGTTTCCATTTCCTCTTCCCTATCATTTTCCTTTTCCCTTCTCTTTCCTCTCCTCTTTCCCATTATTTCTTCTTTTTATTCCCTTTCAGAGTCCTCTTCCATCTTCCCCATTGTCTTGCCTGTCCTTCTGCTCCACTCTCCTTCACCTTTGCTTTCCCCATCCTTTTGTCCATCCCCTTCTGACCCCAAACACAGAACAATTTGCTGCTCCCCGATTCTCTGCCACAGACAGAAAATGACAGAAATAACGACCTGATTCTTGGGCAGGAGCCTTTACAGGGCATATTTTCATGCTGCTACATCAGCAGGGTCACCCAGAGCCATCTGCCCAGTACTGTGTCCATATGACTTTGTGACCAAGAACAGAAATGCCACAAACACATGAGAAAACCTGTTCCAGTGCTCGGTACCCTCACAGTGGCAAAAGAGGTTTGCACGTTTGAGGCAGAGGCTCCTCTGTATCTGCTGGTGCCCATTGCCTCTTGTCCTGGCACTGGACACCTCTGACAAGAGCCTGGACCCATCTTCTCGATGCCTTCCCTTCAGGGATCTGAGAATTAGTTGATGAGAAACCCCAGGTGTTCCTCAGAGCCCAGAGGAAATATTTCAGCTCCTAAGGCTCTCCCCAGGAGACAGCTGCTCCCTGTTCCTTCAGCATTTTTGAGATTTTACAACAGCTGACACCTAAACATCCCAGAGCATCTCGCTCACTCCTCCACTGCTGTCATGGGGGAAGGATTGGGAGGCCTAAAAGTGAGAAAGAGAGAAAACTGGTGTGTTTGGGATAAAGAGAGTTTAAGCAGAAAGGAAAAGCCTTGCATGCCACCAAGCAATCAAGGAATTCATATTCTACTTGCCATTAGCTCAGGTGTTCAGCCATCTCCAGGACAGCAGCATGGCCACACTGGCAATAGTTATTTGAGAAGACAAATGCCATCACTCCACAGATCCTCCTTCCTTCTTCTTCCCCCAGCTTTCTGTTGCTGAGCAGGATGTCCTATGCCATGGAATACTGACGGCCATTTCCCAGGTGTGAGGTTAAACACTTGCTCCCATCCAGCCTCCTCTGAGCAGATGCCTAAAGATTCTGCCATGCTTCTGCAGAGCAGTGGAACCTTGTAGATTTGGAGCTGCTCATGGGCTCAGAATCTGAAGTGATGGAGCACTGCTTGTACCTACCCTGCTCCCTGTCCTCTGCCCTCTCCCCAGCTCCTGCAAGTCCCACCACAAGGCTCTCTTTCCCCTGCCTGCTTCCTGCATCCTCCCTCTCCCAGCACTTCCCACGCTCACCTCCCTTGGGCATCTCAAACCCAGCATTTACCCTCCCACAGCTGCTGGGCACCTGCCACCACGGTTTCCCAAGCTTGGGACAATGACGGAGTGAGACATGACTTGGATGCAGGAAAACTTTATTGTGTCCAGAGGGGCAGGACAGGTAGTAAGCAGATTGAGGGCAAGACCAGAGCATCAGGTTTCCACAAAAGGTGGGAGGCAGAGGGATTTTCTCCAGAGCAAGGCTTTCAGCTCCAGATGCCCCCATGGTGCAGCATTCCAGATGCCGAGGAGTTGGCCCTGCAGCCTCGAAGAGCCCTTCAAGTCCACATGCTGCCCCGTCCAATATCTGGGAGGAGAAAGGAGTAGAGGGGAGCAGAGGGCAGGGGAAGGGATGAGGAAAGGGCTGAGGGTGTGTGGCACTGCCAGCTGCCCAGGTGTTGGCTGTGGCTGCTCAGCACTGCTCAGAGCCTCGTGCCCGCCAGCTCAGCCCTGCATGGGGGTGGTGTTGGCGATTGGGCTGGGGCCAGTGCCTGGGTCTGGGCTGGGTCTAGCAGGGCCCACAGGTGTCCCAGAGCTTCCTGCTGTAGCGGGGCAGGGCACAAGGGCTGCAGGCAGGAGAAGCGTAGGGTCTGCCAAAGGTGCAGAGGCCCCCTGAGCCCAGCGTGGCCCCGGCGCCATAGAGGCCCCCCAGCCCCAGGTTGCCCCCAAAGGCGGGGGCTCCGGACGAGCCCACCACGGCTTGCTGGGGGAAGGAGCTGAGGATGGGGCCGGGGAAGGTGACGACGACGGGGGGCGGCTGGATGAAGGCCGACGAGTCGGGGCACTGCCGGGCGCACAGCTCGTTGCAGCTCTCAGCGATGGGCTGGGGGACGGCGACGCCGCTTTTCGGTGGGCACAGGTCGTAGCAAGACATCTTTGTGTGAGGTCAGATGGTGCTCTGAAAGAGAAAAGGGATTGCAGTAGAATAGTAGTGGATGAGCATCAGAGCTGGAGGAGCTGTCTCATGGATCCAGGAGGAGAAGCGCTCCCAGACTTACCCTGTTCCCCAAGGAGAAGGCGGCCAGAGCAGAGGATGGGAGAGCCTGGCAGAGGCAGAGCTTTTATACCATCCCCACCATTGCTCAGCACCCCGTGGGCCAATGTGCAGAGGGGCACTCCCTCCTGCCCATGACAACGATGACAATGATGACAAAATTGACAATGGCGCTGTCCATCTCCTGCCCCGCGTTGAGTCAGCATTCCCTCACCACAGAATCACACGTTGTCTCAGAGCCTTTCCAGGTGTTTCTCCTTCAGGGGCTACATGGCAACAGCATCTGCCTGCTGGGGGCTGCACCCGGCAGGGGAGGGCCGTGCTTCTGCAGCTCCTGCCAGCCCCATGCTGCCCTGGGAAGACATCTCAGCCTTGTATCCTCAGCTGGATACCGCGGGAAGAAGAGCTCCCCCAGAGCCCAGTGGGGCCATTTCCACTGGGGGCTGCTGGAGATGAACCTTCAGACAGGACTCCCAGCTCCACAGCACAACGCAGGAAGCCCCTTTCCAGCACTGGCCCCAGGCAAGGGGAGTACCAACACATCTGTGAGGGGCTGGTGGGGCTGGAGTAGGAGTGGCACGAGCTTGTGTCATGGTGCGTAAGAGGGGATCTGTGAACTTTACAGCAAACAGCTCAGGAGGGAAGAGCACGGGGGGTCTTTCTGCCCCAGACTGGCAGAGGTCGATGACCAACGCCTGTAGGCAGATGGAGGCCGGCTCCGTAGGGCTGGCGAGTGATGTATTGTGCTGAGCAGGCAGTGCCGCAGAGGAGTGCTTCTGCTCTGCCATTTCATAACCTCGTGCCCCTCTAAATTACAGATTCACGACATACGTCATTTGGGCACTGGTATGCGGGAGGCCTATGCAAGGGGCCTTCTTGGTCAGTGCCAAGACCCTGGTCTTACTGGTAGCTCTGCAAAAAAGGCATGTGCGACCCTAAGACCAAGCCCTGGGGTAAGAGCTCTGGCATGCAGAGCACTTGCAATCAGCCTTTGTCACGCTGCGTGCCCTCTTACGCCCTGTGATAATGAAAAGACACTGGGGCTCATTTGGCCCATGAGGTGGCAGCTGGCAAGCGCCCGAGCAGGGTAATTGCAGGGGCTGATAGAGCGGGTTGGGGCTGCTGAGGAAGCGGCGTCAGCACAACAGCCCCGTGCCACGCAGGGAGGGACCAGGGGCTTGTCCTCCGAGGGCCACTTGCTCCCAACTCAGCAGCTCCTCCCCTCACTCAGCACACCGCATAAAAGCTCTGCCCTCAGCGAGCACTGGCATCCATCGCTCCTGCCTCGCTCTGCTCAGGAAAGGGAAGGTGGGTGCCTGTGGGTCTCTGCCTCCTGTGGCAGGGAGCGGCTTGGGGCCTCCCTGGCCAGGAGAGCTCTGAGGGCAGCAGGCGTGTGGCAGCTGCCTTGGACAGCCAGGGTGGGCTGAGCCACAGCGGGAGGAGGAGGGAGCCCCGTGGCCGGGACATGCAGAGCCAGGCCCTGCACAGGCTCTCGGGGAGTCTTTGTGTGCCCTCGGAGTGCAGAGAGGAGGGCACTGAGGGGGTGTTTGGGCTCAGGGCAAGCGCTGGGCACGGAGCTCATGGTGGTTGCTGTGGCCTTTGCTGGTTTGGGGCAGCCCTGGGAAGAGGGCACTGCACAGCTGGGGTATCTCCTCCGCATTCACGACACCTGTTCTTGTGGCCGTGTGTTTCAGGCTCAGCTCTCTCACACAAAGATGTCTTGCTACGACCTGTGCCCACCGAAAAGCGGCGTCGCCGTCCCCCAGCCCATCGCTGAGAGCTGCAACGAGCTGTGCGCCCGGCAGTGCCCCGACTCGTCGGCCTTCATCCAGCCGCCCCCCGTCGTCGTCACCTTCCCCGGCCCCATCCTCAGCTCCTTCCCCCAGCAAGCCGTGGTGGGCTCGTCCGGAGCCCCCGCCTTTGGGGGCAACCTGGGGCTGGGGGGCCTCTATGGCGCCGGGGCCACGCTGGGCTCAGGGGGCCTCTGCACCTTTGGCAGACCCTACGCTTCTCCTGCCTGCAGCCCTTGTGCCCTGCCCCGCTACAGCAGGAAGCTCTGGGACACCTGTGGGCCCTGCTAGACCCAGCCCAGCCCCAGGCACTGGCCCCAGCCCAATCGCCAACACCACCCCCATGCAGGGCTGAGCTGGCGGGCACGAGGCGCTGAGCAGTGCTGAGCAGCTGCAGCCGAGCCAACACCTTCTCCTGCCCTCCCTTCTCCTCCTGGCCATTGGATGGGGCAGGATCTGGACCTGAAGGGTTCTGTGAGGCTGCAGGGCCAAGTCCTTGGGATCTGGAATGCTGCACCAAGGGGGCATCCAGAGTAAGAAAGCATGCTCTGGAGAATATCCCTCTGACTGCCTCAACACATGGCACCAGCCTCTCTGGTCTTGCCCAAGATCTCCCTGGCAGCCTCTCCTGCCCTTCTGGGCATAATAAAGTTTTCCTGCATCCAAGTCATGTCTCACTCCTTCCTTGTCCCAAGCTAGGGAGAGCCTGGGGGCAGGTGCCCAGCAGTTGTGGGAGGGTAAATGCTGGTCCTGAGTTGACCAGTTGAGGTGAGGGTGGATGTTGCTGGGAGAGGGAGGATGTCAGGAGAAGAGAGCCCTGTGGTGGGGCTTGCTGGAGCCTGGGAAAGGACAAAGGGCAGGACAGGTCCTGGCAGTGATCCTTTGCCTCATCTTCTGAGCCTGGGAGTGGCACCAACTCCTGCTGCTCCACTGATTCTGGGTGATACCTTGGACTGGGGAGCTCCTGAGTTACCTCTAGGACCCCAGGGCCCTTCTTGGCTATGGGATTTCCGCCTTTTCTGTGCTCAGCAGCAGGTACTGCAGCCCATAATCTTCACACCAGTACAGCAGGTTCCTCCACAGCAGCTCTGGGCCATGATAAAGGTAGCAGGAACATCCCTGGTTAATCTCCTGAAAGTCTTAATCTCCTTTTTAAGTGGATTCATGATCTACATTCTTCCTATCTTGGTTCTTATTTTATGATGGTTGAGGGTATTTGACTAATTTCAGAAATTCGATGATTTTGAACTCTGTCAATGAAGGAGAGGTTTGTATTGTTTTCCTCTAACTTTCATTCTTAAAGTTCTGCTGCATAATACAATCAGATTTCTGCTTCCCCACCCCCCTTTTAAGTGTAGCTTTCTGAACGGTTTTATAGCTCATGAGGTTCAGCTTTCGGTATCTCGTTTCCATCCCCATCACTGGCAGACAAAAGCAGTTCATAAACACTGCAGAAATCCCAGAAATCTTACCTCTCACGGGGCTTTCCCAATGTTCCCTTGGCTATTGTTGTTTTACGATAACAAGAACATTTAAAGCTAAGAAAATACCCCACATTTTCTTCAACGTTTAACTGAGATCTTCTGCCAAGCAGAGCAGGCTGTGAACTCATCCGAGCTCAGTGCTCTATCCACACCATACATCCCATCCTGGTATCTATGAATGATGGCTCAGAAAACCACCCCTTCGAAGAAAAATGTGCAAAATACATCAGTGAGAACTAGTAGTGAATTTCAAATATCACAAAGGATTTCCTGCTCAGAAAAAAAAAAAAAAAAATTCCTCCTCATCAACTGAAAAATTTTTATTTTCCCATGATAAGCTATTCTGATTTTTTAATTCAGTTATAGAATTAAACAGAAATCAAATCCCTACATGGAATGCCTTTCAACCTAATGGCATGGATAGAGAAAACTGTTTTCAGGCCATTTATAGATCAGTTTGCACTGACAGAAAACTTCTGAAGAGTACCTATCAAATAAAGCGCTGCAACCCCCCCAAAAATTAAACAGACTTACTGAAGAACTGCATGAAGGGTTGAAAAAATGTTCATTTTTTGTCATGCAACTTGGAATACTGAGGGAGTCCAGTCTCTCCTCCCCTGGACAAGAGTGAATATTGCTCCAAGAGGAGGGTAAAGGACAAATGAAAACCAGAGAGGCTCTTGTGCAACACCGTGGGATTTTAATGTGAAAGAGAAGCCGAGCAGCCAATCACAGAAAATCAAGGCAATACAACAAGGACGAAGGAGTGACGCGGGTGTCATGCTCTGGTTCCAGTGCCCCGCTCAGGACCTGGGGGACAGCCAGGGGGATGGAGGGACGCGGGGGGTAGCGAGGCTGAGCCGTGCAGCCAGGGCGCACGGGGGCACGGGGCAGTGGGCTGCTGGGCGCACACAGCCACCTCCTGCCCCCGTGCCAGGGCAGCTGATGCATGCTGCTAGTGCCCACGGCTCTTGCTCCGTGTCCTCGTGCCTGGGCCTGGTTTCGGGGCTGTTGCTGGTTCTGGGCACCATGCTGGGGACTTTAGAAAGCCCCACAGCTCCCGCGGCGGGACCTGCTCCACCTCTGAGCTCCGGGCAGGTAATACCCCGTGCCACCGGAGGAGAAGCCAGAGCTGTAGGACCTCCCACAGTTGCCAAAGCCACTGCACCCACGTTGGCCCCCAAAGCCCAGGGAGCCCCCGTAGCCCATGGCATCTCCAGGACCTAGGGAACGGCCGTACCCAAGGGACCCCCCGTAACCTCCCAAGCCAAAGGAACCCCCAGAGCCCCGGGAGCCCCCAGAGCCACCCAAGCTCCCAAAGCCCAGGGAGCTGCCGTAGCCCCCCAGACCAAAGGAGCTCCCATAGCCTCGGGAGCCCCCCAAACCCAGAGAGCTCCCATAACCCCTATAGCCCCCCAAACCAAAGGAGCTCCCATAGCCAGCTGAGCCCCCATAGCCAGTCAAACCCCCCAGACCCAGGGAGCTCCCATAGCCTCCAAAGCCTCCCAAACCAAAGGAGCCTCCAGAGCCCTGGGAGCTTCGGGAACAGAAGGAACGCCCCAGCCAGGCTGGGCCTGACGACCCCACAACGCTCTCCTGAGGAAAAGAGCTCAGGATGGGGCCTGGCATTGTCACCACAGCCAGCGGGGGGAAGATCACAGCTCTGGAGTCGGGGCACTGCTGCACACATGGCTCATTGTAGCTCTCGGCAATCGGCTGAGGGCAGGTCACCCCGCAGGGTCTGCAGGACTCGCTGTAGCAGGACATCCTCCTTGTGACGGCTGAGTCTGCAATGCACAGCGTTAAGCAGGTTTCAGATGCAGAATTTGTCACCTGACTCTAGACCCCTGTGCTTGCTTATAGTCAGTGGAAATTGTGACAGCCCGGGGTTCATCGTCTTGCACATTATTGCCTACATCTGGTCACGTAAATCCTATTCTGGATTGTTTCCTGTCAAGATCTCCTAGATGTCATGCACAGATGCAGACATCTAGCGTCATGCATGGTGAACCTTGAGATCAGTGCTCTTGCTTGTAGCACGATGAATCTAATTTACTAAGACCAGATGAAGCAGACGAAAGTTTCTTAATGTATTCACAGCAAGTTAAGAAAAAGAAGTGTCGGATATAGCCCATCTCTTTCTACAGTTCGATATTGCTTCCCCAGCAGCAACTCAACTTCCAAATAGATTGTTTGCCTGTATGGGACAAATGCTACCACAAGGTGGTAGATACTGCGATCACTCTGTTGTTTTTAAATTTTATAATGCATGTAGATTCTGAATTGAAACTAAAACGCCTGGGAAATGATTATTCAAAGTAGCATAGAAAAACTTCCCGTTTTTTTCTAAGGGTTACACCTTCCGACACCAGCAGTTCTCTCACCCACGAATCCATAATATCGTGTAGAATTTAGCATTAAAAATAAAGAAGAAAAAACCCAAAACTTGAGAAGGATTGAGCCAGATTGGACTTACCTTGTTCACCGAGCGGAATAAACGAGGAGATATGGATAGAGAGGCTTGGAGCGGGGACAGCTTTTATACGTTTCTCAAACTGCTTACGGATACGAAACACCCTTTGTGCCTCGGGTCCTGCATAGTAACGAAACAACCTTCACGTCGAGGGATTTAATTTTGCTTGCTTCGCACTGCCACTCCCCACCTTCAAAATCAAGTGCGACCCAGTGTTGGTACCAACCTGTGGACATTGATTTGGTGACTGACAAGTTCCTTCAGACTTCTAATTGCCAGCATCGGCACTGGAGCATCTTCTAGTTTTAGAGTTGATGAGAAAGGATTAGTTAAATTTATCTGTCTTTTAATAGTGTCATTTAAGTGAATATGTCTGAAAATACAAGCGAGCTGGATAAAAAGAGGGAGAGAGGTAAGAGAAAGAAGCAGAATTTCACGTATCTACATCTGGTTTAGAAATGTGGGGCTTTTGACATCTGTATTTTGCAGATCAAATATCCTGAATGATTCATAAATTAATAAGGTGGATTCCATTCTTATTTTTACTGCTGTCTTTGGAATGCCACTGAGGCAGTGCCACTTCAGAGATATTGCAGATCCTCCATGGAGCGATAAGAGGCTTTACAAACGCCCACTGAAAATTCATATTTGATGTGTCGTAGCGTTGTTATACACAAACACGCAACTATCGGCACACAATTTAGAGACGCTGAATGGAGCGCTTTGTGTAATTAGGTACAACTTCGTGCATAAGAGGTGGAGTCATTTAGAGGTGAGAGCAAGTGGTCTGGAGAGTCTAAGAGCAGAGATTTTAGGACATCAGAGACCCCTTGTTTTTCAGAATGTGGACAGAAAGCCAGTTAAGCCCGAAAATTCAGGTGAATTGTAATGGGGCTCTTCCCCACCTCTGAATTTAAGGCAATAGACATTTTAGACATATTAGCAAAATACTGGCGCATAAAGGGAGATGAAGCTACTACTTATAGTCCATAGCACGGACATGTCATGATCTCCCCAAACAGATTAATACTTGGTAAAACAAAGAACTCGATAACATGAATGAAAATCAAATCATTTCAGGCATTTGAAGTTGTAAACCGCAGTCTGGTTAAGGGATCAAAAGAATTTTGACATTGGCTGGCGTATTTTTAAATGATGCTGTTTCATAACAAGGGAGCTTCTAAAATCCTGCCCTTCTTTATTTAATATGATAACAGCAGAAATTGCATGCGCTGCTTATTAATGAGTATTTGTGAAGCAGCTTAAAGTCATTATCTTCCAGGAGCCTCTCATTATTATCAGCAAATCCTGATGACGCTTCGAAGGCACACCTGTCTTACAATGTAAAGGTGATTTATAGCTTATCTTTTGTAATACTGTAAAATTAGAAAACAACAGATTTGCAAATAACTGTATGATGCCACAGACCTACCCCCTTAAAATAGATCTTTTTACGTACTATTTTATGAATTTCCCACTGTTAAGTGGTCGGTACTTCAGGGTGGGGAGGGGAAGAAAATTCGGATTGATTTGAAATGTATTTTAGCAGAGCTTCTAGAAGCAGAGGAATCAAATTAAATTTTGAAATGTTTGGGATTAGCTTTAGGCCAAGACCCTGTCAACAGTTCTGGTTGTATCAGCAAGGTCATTTCTGTTTCTTTGGAGGTGTCGCTTAGCCCAGTCATTCTTCTAACCTGGTGTCACCTCAGTTGCCTCAGAAGAACCGAGAGAAAGAGGTTGGAAAAGGTTTCAACAGACCGATGCTGACTTCACTTGGGTCGCAGTTAATATTTCTAGTGATGATGGGACGGTATCATTCCCCTCTATCATTTGATGGGTGCGTAATCAGACACTGATATCCCTGCCTGGGCTAATTATTGGTAAAATAAAAAGTTTAGAGCACAAGCTAAAAACTTGGGCAGGATTTATTGTTTTCATGCTGTTATCAATAGTGCTGTCCCATCAGGGACGAGCCTGGGTCGTGTCAGCTCTTTGCTCTGCTGTCTAAAAACATTGATATAGATCCTTAGCCAACTGCAAGGAGAACTTGCATCCTCTTGGAGTCAAACTCCTGGCTCACGTCGGACGAACTTCACCTGCTTTGTGTCCGTGGCACCAAGAAGTTCTCCACATCGTGCAGCTGCCACACTGAACATTTGAATGGGCCTAACACGACGCACGACTCTTGTTCTGGTTTTCAGTCGAGGACTGCAGGGTAACCCTTCATCTGCAAGTTCCCCAAATCCCCTAAAATGACAATCGCAGAGAACTGGTCGTCGTCAGCAGTTGTTATCACGCCCACACTAACGTTTGGGAGGGACACTGCTGAGGTGGCAAAATTCAAGCTCCCACTATCGTGTTTGTTTTGTAACAGATTAGGACCAAAGGCACAAAGGCTGGCCTAAAGAAGCCTATAAAAGCTCGTATCACCCGCAGTCCTTATATCGGTTGCTCTTGTCTCGGCCTCTGCAGCGAACAAGGTAAGAGTGATTTCACTCATTCTTTCTACTACTATTAGCATTTACTTTTGGTCACGGAGACGATCCTTGAATGTGTTTTTACAGACACATGTCCTCTGTTTCCTTCTGAAAATGTGTCTTTGTCCAGATGCAGCATCAGGAATTACTGCATTAGGATAGGAAGTAGATCTCCAAGCTACAGAAATACTTGGGGTGACTTACACCTCATAAAGTCGGAATAAATAGAGCCAATGAAACTTTTCTCCTACTCTTAAGTTGCTGTAGACAGATCTACCTAATTTATCTAGTGCTGAAGTTCTGTTTCACATCAAATTATTTATAAAGGTGATCAAGATGAGAAGAAAGAAAGGATAAAATTGAGTTAATATAAGAATGAGTTTTATTTGTTAGTATGGATAAATATATCCATTTTCTTGTTAACTTCTGATATCGCAGACACAGAGTTAGAGATTAATAATCTTGGTTCATCTCGTCCCAGCCCAGCTCTACTATTTCTTCATTTACCTTAAAACCCCTTAACGCTGTGCATTGCAGACTCACAAGCGTCACAAGGAGGATGTCCTGCTACAGCGAGTCCTGCAGACCCTGCGGGGTGACTTGCCCTCAGCCGATTGCCGAGAGCTACAATGAGCCATGTGTGCAGCAGTGCCCCGACTCCAGAGCTGTGATCTTCCCCCCGCCGGCTGTGGTGACAATGCCAGGCCCCATCCTGAGCTCTTTTCCTCAGGAGAGCGTTGTGGGGTCGTCAGGCCCAGCCTGGCTGGGGCGTTCCTTCAGTTCCCGAAGCTCCCAGGGCTCTGGGGGCTCCTTTGGTTTGGGAGGCTTCGGGGGCTATGGGAGCTCCCTGGGTCTGGGGGGTTTGACTGGCTATGGGGGCTCAGCTGGCTATGGGAGCTCCTTTGGTTTGGGGGGCTATAGGGGTTATGGGAGCTCTCTGGGTTTGGGGGGCTCCCGAGGCTATGGGAGCTCCTTTGGTCTGGGGGGCTACGGCAGCTCCCTGGGCTTTGGGGGCTTGGGTGGCTCTGGGGGCTCCCGGGGCTCTGGGGGTTCCTTTGGCTTGGGAGGTTACGGGGGGTCCCTTGGGTACGGCCGTTCCCTAGGTCCTGGAGATGCCATGGGCTACGGGGGCTCCCTGGGCTTTGGGGGCCAACGTGGGTGCAGTGGCTTTGGCAACTGTGGGAGGTCCTACAGCTCTGGCTTCTCCTCCGGTGGCACGGGGTATTACCTGCCCGGAGCTCAGAGGTGGAGCAGGTCCCGCCGCGGGAGCTGTGGGGCTTTCTAAAGTCCCCAGCATGGTGCCCAGAACCAGCAACAGCCCCGAAACCAGGCCCAGGCACGAGGACACGGAGCAAGAGCCGTGGGCACTAGCAGCATGCATCAGCTGCCCTGGCACGGGGGCAGGAGGTGGCTGTGTGCGCCCAGCAGCCCACTGCCCCGTGCCCCCGTGCGCCCTGGCTGCACGGCTCAGCCTCGCTACCCCCCGCGTCCCTCCATCCCCCTGGCTGTCCCCCAGGTCCTGAGCGGGGCACTGGAACCAGAGCATGACACCCGCGTCACTCCTTCGTCCTTGTTGTATTGCCTTGATTTTCTGTGATTGGCTGCTCGGCTTCTCTTTCACATTAAAATCCCACGGTGTTGCACAAGAGCCTCTCTGGTTTTCATTTGTCCTTTACCCTCCTCTTGGAGCAGTATTCACTCTTGTCCAGGGGAGGAGAGACTGGACTCCCTCAGTATTCCAAGTTGCATGACAAAAAATGAACATTTTTTCAACCCTTCATGCAGTTCTTCAGTAAGTCTGTTTAATTTTTGGGGGGGTTGCAGCGCTTTATTTGATAGGTACTCTTCAGAAGTTTTCTGTCAGTGCAAACTGATCTATAAATGGCCTGAAAACAGTTTTCTCTATCCATGCCATTAGGTTGAAAGGCATTCCATGTAGGGATTTGATTTCTGTTTAATTCTATAACTGAATTAAAAAATCAGAATAGCTTATCATGGGAAAATAAAAATTTTTCAGTTGATGAGGAGGAATTTTTTTTTTTTTTTTCCTGAGCAGGAAATCCTTTGTGATATTTGAAATTCACTACTAGTTCTCACTGATGTATTTTGCACATTTTTCTTCGAAGGGGTGGTTTTCTGAGCCATCATTCATAGATACCAGGATGGGATGTATGGTGTGGATAGAGCACTGAGCTTGGATGAGTTCACAGCCTGCTCTGCTTGGCAGAAGATCTCAGTTAAACGTTGAAGAAAATGTGGGGTATTTTCTTAGCTTTAAATGTTCTTGTTATCGTAAAACAACAATAGCCAAGGGAACATTGGGAAAGCCCCGTGAGAGGTAAGATTTCTGGGATTTCTGCAGTGTTTATGAACTGCTTTTGTCTGCCAGTGATGGGGATGGAAACGAGATACCGAAAGCTGAACCTCATGAGCTATAAAACCGTTCAGAAAGCTACACTTAAAAGGGGGGTGGGGAAGCAGAAATCTGATTGTATTATGCAGCAGAACTTTAAGAATGAAAGTTAGAGGAAAACAATACAAACCTCTCCTTCATTGACAGAGTTCAAAATCGTCGAATTTCTGAAATTAGTCAAATACCCTCAACCATCATAAAATAAGAACCAAGATAGGAAGAATGTAGATCATGAATCCACTTAAAAAGGAGATTAAGACTTTCAGGAGATTAACCAGGGATGTTCCTGCTACCTTTATCATGGCCCAGAGCTGCTGTGGAGGAACCTGCTGTACTGGTGTGAAGATTATGGGCTGCAGTACCTGCTGCTGAGCACAGAAAAGGCGGAAATCCCATAGCCAAGAAGGGCCCTGGGGTCCTAGAGGTAACTCAGGAGCTCCCCAGTCCAAGGTATCACCCAGAATCAGTGGAGCAGCAGGAGTTGGTGCCACTCCCAGGCTCAGAAGATGAGGCAAAGGATCACTGCCAGGACCTGTCCTGCCCTTTGTCCTTTCCCAGGCTCCAGCAAGCCCCACCACAGGGCTCTCTTCTCCTGACATCCTCCCTCTCCCAGCAACATCCACCCTCACCTCAACTGGTCAACTCAGGACCAGCATTTACCCTCCCACAACTGCTGGGCACCTGCCCCCAGGCTCTCCCTAGCTTGGGACAAGGAAGGAGTGAGACATGACTTGGATGCAGGAAAACTTTATTATGCCCAGAAGGGCAGGAGAGGCTGCCAGGGAGATCTTGGGCAAGACCAGAGAGGCTGGTGCCATGTGTTGAGGCAGTCAGAGGGATATTCTCCAGAGCATGCTTTCTTACTCTGGATGCCCCCTTGGTGCAGCATTCCAGATCCCAAGGACTTGGCCCTGCAGCCTCACAGAACCCTTCAGGTCCAGATCCTGCCCCATCCAATGGCCAGGAGGAGAAGGGAGGGCAGGAGAAGGTGTTGGCTCGGCTGCAGCTGCTCAGCACTGCTCAGCGCCTCGTGCCCGCCAGCTCAGCCCTGCATGGGGGTGGTGTTGGCGATTGGGCTGGGGCCAGTGCCTGGGGCTGGGCTGGGTCTAGCAGGGCCCACAGGTGTCCCAGAGCTTCCTGCTGTAGCGGGGCAGGGCACAAGGGCTGCAGGCAGGAGAAGCGTAGGGTCTGCCAAAGGTGCAGAGGCCCCCTGAGCCCAGCGTGGCCCCGGCGCCATAGAGGCCCCCCAGCCCCAGGTTGCCCCCAAAGGCGGGGGCTCCGGACGAGCCCACCACGGCTTGCTGGGGGAAGGAGCTGAGGATGGGGCCGGGGAAGGTGACGACGACGGGGGGCGGCTGGATGAAGGCCGACGAGTCGGGGCACTGCCGGGCGCACAGCTCGTTGCAGCTCTCAGCGATGGGCTG